ACATGAAAAGTCATTGCTCCTGCAAGAAACACATGTGCTTCTCCCAGATTTGTGTGCAATGGTGGATTTATTAAAAAGGGTGAAGAGCTAGGAACAACAGGAAAGAGAATATTCCTTTTGTTGTGTCTTTCCCCTTGTTTTTAAGCACAGGTTGAGGAAAGACTAAAAACAATGAGGACGCAGAGTTTCGTATCTTTTCATGATGCAGCTCTTCTAATGCAAATAATTAACAGCAGCCAAAGTCAGATCACAGCAGGTAACAGCGAACTTGGAACTAATTTTCAGGGAAAATGAATGATTGCCTCTGTAATGAGGGAGAAGGAGGACAGAAGAACGCTTTGCCATTATGACAAATTAATCAGCCTAATTCTTCTCCAGCCTCTGCATGTCTTGCAGGCAGAAGTTTTATGATCTCAATCTGGCAAAAATCCTCAGGCTGGGAAAACATGTCATGAAACTCAGCAGAGCAAGTCACCGAGACAGCCGGGTCGGTGAAGTCCTAATGGGGCCATGCTTACCCCTAGCAAGCTGCTCGAACAGCCCCAAGGTCTCAGTGACCCAAGGCACCACAGTCAGCAGTGGAAACAGATATTCCCCGGGCAGGGAGTGTTTAATGTGGCCACAGAACATCTCCCCACAATGCAGACTGCTCAGAACAGCGTGCTGCAGTGAGGAGTGAAAGCACCATTTACCCTAACCCTCAGTTCACCTGCAAGGTGCCAGCACTGTCCGTGGCTGTGTCCCTTGCCAGGCTCCTGCTGTTCCAAAGATGCTACATCCATAGAAAACGTCTCCCTGTTGCTCCTGCACCAGGTGGTCTCAGACAACAAGGGGCAGGCATTGCACAGCTCGGGCAGAGCAGCTCTGGGCAGCATTACAGAAATACTTGCACAGGGAAGATGCAAACTGGCCATCGCAGTGCCTCTTCCCACTTGGTTATTGCAGCCAGATGAGTAAACCTCAGGAAAGATAATTACTCTTCGTTGGCTGGTCTGGAGATCCCTCAGGCTTCACCATAAATATTTGAGGACGTGACACACAGCATTTTTCACACTCGAGAGGCACAGACCCAGGACTCAGATGCATCATCCACAGTGTGCTGCCCTCTCTGGCCACGCTCCGGCTGTCTCGCCACCCTCACCCCTCCTCACCGCTGCGTGAAATGGTGCCAGAAAGCACTTAGCCTTGAAATAAGTCAAATCATCTTCCTCGCAGCCGCCCGTGATCATGTTTATCCTCTTTGCATCGTGTAACCCAAAGCATCCGAACAGTCACATGTGTATTGTACAGGACCATCCAGCTCATTACCAGGCAAAATTAACGCCCAGTTCAACACCCAGGCAGTATGAAACTCTATAATCCCAGCAGCCCACAGAAGAAAGATGCTAGCTGGGCTGAGAGGGGAGCAGCATCAGGATGAGAAACACAGCATCGAAAATCACTGCTAAGGAGGGACAGCGGGGAGCTGAAGGTGCTGATGGAGACGGGGCCCCATGTCCTGGTGGCAAGAGCTGCAGAGCAGGATGGCAGAGGGCTGCAGCCTACTAGCAAGAAATCACTCCAAAGGCATACAAATGAATGAGCATTGGTCAGGACATCTCCACTGCATGGCAGATTTTCTTCTCTCCTCTCTGGAAACTGCAGAACCATGCACAGAGTTCAATAAAAATTTTATGAGGATCATCACTGGGCATTTTCTGGTTAGAATCGAAGCCCAGTTATGGGCTCATGTCCTAGGACCACTGGGTGGTCTACATCTACTACATCTCCATCAGGTAACTTCATCTCAGTACTTGGTGGCACAAGGAGAGCAGAGTTCTGCTGGCAATCTGGCCCACAGTGCTTGTGTCAGGGAAGGGAAAGGAACAGAAGGCAGAGAGCACCATTTCGGGAGGGTATTTAAATATTAACTGATGACAAGAGCACTGGCAGTGCTTTGATCAGCATGCTAGAGGAGGACACGCTGTACAGCAGGAAGAGTCTCATTTAGTCTGGATGACAGAGTCAACATGCTTTTAATCACATCCTTAGCCATGCGCTTGGAGGATTATGTCATATCAACTGTGTCCCAAGATTTGGGGTTATTTTTATACACCAAGTTTTTACCAGCATATACGTATTTCCACATCTCCCTGCCACTTTCCTGTCTTCACTTTTATTATAATTCCAGAAGCAGCAGCAGCAGAGGAGACAGGTTGTTTGCTCTTTATTTTGAAACAGGTAGCATCTCTTCCGTAGCATTTGTATTGCAAATGCTGCCGTATTTTCCTAGCAGAGGAGACTCAGGATCCTAACCAGATCAATCTACCTCCACTGCTCAAACAGATAAACATAAAAGCTAAACCCACCTTATGAGGCAGCTGCCCAGTGTTGACACAGGTTCACAAATAACTACAGAAAGGCAGAAAATTCCATTAGGAGTTATGGAAAAACTCTGTATAATCTAATATCAGTAGGAAGCTCAATAACTTTGTTGTCATTTCAGACTATTTATATTGCCATAATCAGTGATAGTGTCTGCATACCTACTTCAGAAATCTCTGCCTTCCTTATTGTCCACCGAGGAGCACAAATACGTGAGAGAAAATAGTTCAAAACAAACAGCAATAAAAAATACTCAGGTAAAAGACTTTTCTGTGGCTTCCCAAAGCACAGGCTGGCACACTGAAGCTTAACTAATATTCGTGATGAATATGGCAGAATATTGGAAAATAAAACACAACCTTCCCAACAGGATTTTTGTGGAAAAGGGCTGTAACAAAGACCATGCACGAGCCTGGGAAACCAGGGATCTAATCTCAGCTTGCCATTGTGCCTGGGGACATTATGTCCCCTCTTTCTACTCTACTGTTCCCTCTCTAATGTGGCAGAGCATTGTGCCACCCTCAGGAGACTAAAGGCTGCAAGGTGCTCAGATCACGAAGATAAGAAGCAGGTGAGTGAATGCTGAGATAACCCTGTTCATGGGTTCTTTGTAGAACCCCTAACCCTAAATTAATTTTGTTTTATAGAGAACAGAAGGTGGGATATTGCTGAGGATCCTCCACTGCAGAAGCCACGAGAAGGCAGTCACTGGAATGCGGATTGCATTACGTCCTCGGGTGAAACTCTGCCCTGTGAAAGTCCACATGCACTTATCAGTGAGCCCTTCTCTGTAGTTCTTTCAGTGGTCAAAATCTCCATGCATGGAGACTCATGCAAAGAATGTCCTCCAGCAAAACCACTATTTTTCTGAAGTGCTATCTGGGACTTTCTGTTACAGAATGTAATGACAACGATCTCTGCCTTCAGAGGGTCTTTTTGTCTTTGTGGTGTCTTTCCATCACCAGACCGTTCACATATACCCAGGTTTCTACATTGCTCAATAGCTGCAAGCCCACCAGGAGCCTGCTGAGCAATGTGGTCAACACCTGTGCTACGATGTTTATTTTCTTCAGCCTCTCCCCAGGAACTCTTCCAGCCAAGGAAATCAAACCACTATATAGAGTAGAATTTAAAAGCTTCCCTCTGTGAAGAAAATATTATAATCCTTACCACTTACAAAGGGAAACTTGACATACAAAGCTGCCTTCTCGTTTTGTTTTCAACAGAAGATACACATTTATATAATATTCATAGCTTGCCCCAAGCAATGAGAGGCTTTCAGGGGAGCCAGGCTGAGGCCCTCATCTTTCAGTCACCAAATACGTGTAAATCCATCACAAAGGAACAGGAGCCTGCAGGCTGTTGAGCTTCATTTTAGATCACAAGCATCATTTCAGCCAACGTGGGCTGACCCCGCTGCGCAACGACGAAGATGAACTACCTAACGAACCACACGTGGTCCTGCCTCTGGTGCTCATTTGAAATTGTATGTCAAACAAGCATGGTCACAAAGCTTCCCATTCCAAGCATCTGGTTATGGTGGGATGTCTGAGGAATGGCTTTGATTCAATGGCTTGCATCGGTTATTGATCGCGGGCATTATTCCTGGACCAGCAAAGTGCAGCACCTGGCCTTCTCCAAGGGCTCTCTTGTAATAGCCCATCTCCCCGTCTTCAAACACAACTGCACTTCTGCTTCCCGCTCCTTACCCCAGCTCATGCTCTGAGGAGGAGGATCCCGAACAAAATAACAACACTGAGCATGAATCTCATCTTTGGAAAACACTTTTCTTTCTCTAGTAACTTAAAGAGCGAGCGTGCAACACTGGAAGGCATTTACCAGTCAACAACATTAACTCTTTTCTCTCTTCCCCAGCTGCCAAGAGCCAGAAATAAATCTAGATTTTTATAGATCTGTATAATTGAGATCACCTGGATGGGCAAGGAAGAAATTGTGTGCAAAATGAGGTGCCAAAGTCTAAGAGCTCACAAACCATTAAGATGAGTCAGATTGTTAAATGTAGATCAAATTTCCACAGACGCTGGGGGCGTTCCAGCTAGGCTTCAAACTTGGCAGCTCCATCTCTACAATGGCCCAAACCCAGAACTCATATCCAGCAAACGCTGAATCCTTGGCTGACCCCCGGGCTTTGAACATCAAGAGACCGGTACGTCCCCAAACTCCAGACATTGGCTTCAACGGCTAGAGATTTAAAAATAAATAAATAAATGAAGCCGAGATCTTTTAATTGCCTTTTGTCGGAGCGTCAAATTTCCCCATGCTGCACAGCTAGACCAAATCCATTATGAGCACTTTGATTTTTAAGGCAACACAAGAGTAAGCGGTGGCTCAACAGGCCGGAGCCAATATAATTAGAGAAATTCGCTTACCTTCTGTGTGGATTCATATCATCTCAATTTAGCCTATCCCATGCCCTATAGCTCTGCATTCTTATAGGAATAGCCCACAGCAAGTGAAGAACGGGATAGGAAGCATGTGAAGAGGAGCGATGTACAGTGCAATGTATCACTTCGGCTTCTCTTTGTCACCTCCATCCTCTCCACAGAGCTAAAACCCACAAACACGCCTTCCCTTCTCACATCCAGGTGGAGACAAGCAAGTCATTGGTGTCTTACCCTGACAGGACGCCCAGCACCAAGTTGAGCATGAAGAAAGAGCCAATGATGATGAGAGGGATGAAGTAAAGCCAGTTCCAGGTATTTCCTGCAGCATCATTTGTCTGGAAACCAAGAGAAGGGGAGAGAGAAAAACAAATATTAATCAGGCTCAGGAGCACCGCAGCATAACGTGCAGGGCAGAGGGCACTGGTGATTCCCCTCACATTTCCTTGGGGCCATCTACCACCGATGTACTGGTCAGTTATGATGTAAATTTGGTAAGTTTTAACCACCAGCAAAAGACCTAACAAACCAAGCTGACTGTCCCACCACCCACCCCACAATTCGTCATCAGCTCCAGCACAAAGATTCACCTCTAATTGCAGAGGGGGACAAAATATGACTTCAAATGACCCACCTCTGTGTAGGCCTTTTGCACCAGCCTCCTCCCTCCCTCCCCCAAGCTGTGAGCTGCCATGTGCTGAGCATCAGTGCCGTATTTACATCCGAACTGAGGCACACAAGGACGGGAGGGAACCACAGCCTTCCCCTAATCCGGGCTGCGTGGCGCCGTGCCCAGAATCTGTGCACGCACACGGCACAGGAGAAGACGAGAAGTCTGCAAGAAACCGAGGCGTCCTCAGAGCGGCTGCAATCCCACATCTGCTTGCTCAGCACTCAGGAATTCTGTCATCAAAACCCCATCTGAGGCTCCCTGAGTAAGCAGCAGCCTAGATTAAGGGGAGGGAAGGCTGTTTTAGTTTATGACAAAGTTTCTGCATTCATCAACCACAAGGGAGCTCTTTAAGGAACTGCTGAAAAGTAAAATGCCACATGGCCATTTACCGGAGCCAAGAGAAAAAATGCAGATTCTTTTCTTGCGAGTGAAGAATGCAGCAACTTGAGAATCTGACGTCAGGTGTAAGGGAGGGGGAAGGGGAAGAGAAAAGACCCAAAGACGTTCCTGCTCTCCTCCCTCCGCCTGCAGCAGGTAGAGAATAACATGGGCACAGGGCTGACCTCTCCCTCCTGAGATGGTGGAGCCCACAGAGAAGCTCTCACAAACATCACCTTGCAGAAAATGCAATCATTCTATCTGATGTCGGTGCCTTTTCTTTGTTATCCATGGTGCTCTTTAGCCACTATCCCCCATCATATTTGCAAGTGAACTTTTGCTGACCAAAAGAGCCACTGAAAGAGGAAGGGCTTTCAATGCAGCCATGGGTATTCCAGCTGGGTGTGCTCAATGCCATCTCAAAGTGTCTCTGCACAAGCCACCTGTGACCTGGGTGACTGATGTCACAGCATTGTCTGCAGGTAATAGCACTTAGGGCACCGATGCAAGCCAACACCTTCCGAGTTGTTTTTAATATGGTACATATCTGCACAAATCCTTCCTGGGGAACCTTCTCCAGATCACACGAACAACAAGCAGTTCTCCAAATAGCTACAATCTTCAGAAATATCCGTGTCAGTTGATCAGTGACTCACCGGGAGGAACAGGGACTAACTAACCCAGCCACCTACCATCCCTCCGAAAGGGACGCGTGTGACACCACCGTGTGACAGACAAATGAATTTGAAGAGAAAACAGGCTGGGAAAATGAGAGCAGAAGGACAGGAAAACTCTGTCCCACCCGTTATCTCATTTTAGGGATTTTGATATGCCTTTACCAACACTTGCCATTGCACTCCAGCCCCGATTCTCATTCTGGTGACCAAGGTGGCAGCGCTCATGCTAGCGGCTGGAGCAAACGCTCCCAATTCAGCGAGGGACTGCCATCAGCCAGGCAAGGGGGGCTGGAAAACCCAAAAGGAAGAGCTGGAGGAAGGGAACAGATGGGAGAAGGGAAACCACATAAACATGCAAAGGGAGTGCAGTAGGTTCACTGCTGCCAAATGATCGTTTATCATTTATTTATTCATTTGAAGCCCAAACTTGGCGACAGATCTACAATTCCATGCCACGATCAAAGCCCTTAAAATGAAATGTGCTGAAATACGACTAATTAACCGCCCTCCTCCAAGTGCTTGCTAGACTGCCTTATGCTCAGGGCAGGGCAGGGCCTTGCTCTGCTGGTCCTGTCTCACACAGGGACCCAGGACAAGCCAGAAGACGAAACGCTGGGCACAAAGGTGAGCAGAAAACCCATCCCGAGAAAGCAGAGCCTTCATGGACATGCAGCATCTTTCCCAGTGCTCCCAAACACACTTGAACCCAAGCAGAGTTTGCGGCAGCTGCTCTGCCATGGTGAGGTGATTTCATGAATCAAAGCTGGGAGCTGCCAGGAAAACCAAACTCCTCTCCTCCAGGAAAAGTCCTGCAGGCACTTCCCCGTGCAGAGCAACCAGGGCTCAGGCTAGGGCCCAGCTCAAGGCTTGCTCATTAAGCAGGATGAGCCAAGAGATCAAATCAATTTTTATGTTCCAGCTGAAATACTTCACCAGAGTAATGCCTGGCTGACTGTCAGTGCCATTTGATCCTAACCACAGGTCTAAGCCACCAGGGAAGAAGCAGAAACAAAACACTTCTAATGATGCACCAGATTTACATGGGGCAACAGCAGGGCTCACAGGAGAGCTCCCTCGCTGCTCACCTGCTGATAGCAGCCACAGGGCTCTTCACAAGCACCACCTGAGCAGTGCCCAAAGCAAGCTGAAGGCTTGCTCCAGGAGCACCCCGGGCACAGGCTCCGAGCAGTTTGTGTCCATTAAACTTGGCAACATCCGACTCCCACAGGACACAGGCTGCATAGAGGAAAACTGAGGCACAGGAAGTCTCAGAGACAATTTGGGGTCACGGTGAAAGCCAAGACCCAGAGGTCTGTTTGTTCTGCATCCAAAGCCCATAAAAACTGTCCACCCACTGCAGTGCTCTTCTCAACAAGCCCAGCTGCACCACGCAGCAGGATGGCCCAGGGCACAGCAGGACGCCCCAGGACAACCTTGGCTTTAGCCTCCTGGGGGCTCTCTCCTCTCCTTCATGCAGCACCAAGCACTCCGACAACATCCCCGAGCAGCAACACTACGGCTGGCTATCTGTGCAGATAAACGGGTGAATACTGTCACCTGTAACAAATGCAGAAGCTAAAAGGTTTCTGTCACACAAGGAGATTAATGCCCTGAGCTCCCAATAAAGCCAAAGGGAACAGAGTGTGCTCCAGCAAAGCACGAGGAGCCCCGTGCAGGCTGTCCAACAGCAGAGGAAGGCCGGTGCTAAAGCTGGCTTTGTCTCCCAGACACAGAGAGCAGTTCAGCCACTGCTTCATTATGCTAACAAGATGGCAGCTGCATCTAATTATTAATTCATTTAAAGGTATGTTTTGAAGCAACCAACTTGAAAGCAGCCTCCTGCTGCTTGCAATGTGCTGCAGAGAGCAGAGATGTTTGTGTGTTACCTTTCGGCTTCCTGTCTGCAGCCCTGGCCATGACCCTGGCTCTGGGGCAGGCAGGGAGGCAAAACCCTGTGTTTGGCTGCCCTGAAGGGGTTTTTAATGTTGCTGGAGCTTCTTGCTGCTGCAGCAGCTCTGTCCCAGCCAGCCCCAGCCCATCACCACCATAGGACGGGACTTCTCCAGCCAGCACAGGTCAGCAAAGCCCTCCCTGCTCAGCCATCCTGGTAGCGCACCACCAGCTCTCCGGGAACCCTTCCTAAATCCAGCTCTGCGCTCCCTGTGGCTGGGGCATCACCAGGGCCCTCACAGCCCATCGGCCTTGCAGCCTAATCCAGACTCCATGGGGGGCTGATCAGAGGGAGCAGATGTGCTTGGGCAGGGGAAGCAGCATGGAAACACTGCAGCGCTTCCTTGCCAGCACGGCTCCCACCAGAAGTGGGAAAATGCAACAGCCTCTGTAGAAAGGGACCCACAGCCCTGAGGAAAGGAAGTCTGTGCGGTTCCTACCAGGGTTGCTTAATCACTGTTTGCATCAGTGATGAGCTCCTGGTTCTGGAATCCCAAAATGATGAACGTGCATTAAGTGAAATTTGGTTTACACGCAGCCTTGTGAACAGGCAAGTTACTGCCTCTGTTCGGCGGGTGGCAAACCTGAGGTTTCTGGAGATTTACAGACTGAAAATTAGAGCAAGTCAAACAAAGAATAATCCCCCAAATCCTATCCCCCTCTTTTCTCTAAGCAGACAGCACAGCTGCCCACACGTTCCCACACTCCTCCAGCTTCTACAACAGAACCTAAATCCGTATTTCACGTGGGAGGCGGATGGGGGATTCCCACACAGCCAGGCTTTTGTGCCACCTCCCAGCAGCCAGCAAATCGAACACTAAAGCCCAGGGGTGAACCTGAGTCCCAAGGGATCTGCAATCTGGAGCTGACAGCTCCTTGGAGCTGGTGTGAGCAGAAGACCTGCCACCGCTTTGCACTGCCCACAGCCCCATTCAGCACATGCCAAGCAGCGATAGCGCATGTTTAAATAACAACCTCTTCAAATAAGCTATTAAACGCTGCTGTACCTGATTAAATCCTCTTGGGCAACACAAAAGCAGCAGAACAACAAAGACCTTTGCCATAGGAAAATGCCTGGTGGCACAAGACAGGGACTTTGAATACCCTATTTGTAGACCGTCATGCTACAGTGCACCTAAGCAAAAAATTCTCACTTTTCAGCTTCTCATTTTCCAGTTTCTAATCAAAATACAGTCATTCTAATTGCCTCTCTCCCCGAATCATCACTGTCTCCACTTGCAGCCCTGTGCTGAGAGGGAAAGAGAGCTCAGGGATGTCCACACGTTCTCCACCAGCCCAACTCAGTCACCAAAGATCCTCATGGGAACACACTGACCTTATTGTAAGCTTATAATTAATGAATTATACAAACCTAATGATTTGGACTTGCACTGAGGAAGCCACTGCAGGTTGGGATGTCAGTGCAGGCCAGCTGCCTCCTACCACCCATGCAGCAGAGCCCAGCCCTCCGTGGCATCCTCCCTTCTGTGCCTGCACCTCCTAGAGTGCAGCCACCACGATGCAAGAGCACTCCCTGCTTGCAGCCAGAGCTAAGGAAATGCTGCAAAGCTTCACGGCTTGGAGATGAACGCCCTTCTGCCACTGCTGCATGTGGAGGCACCTCTGGAGGCAGCACTGAAGAGAGGAGCTGCACAGCCTT